ACGGTTAACTCTGACCTAAAATAATAATAAACAAAAAGACTGGCACTGCTCTGACATCTGCGAGTTAAGTAAAGGTCAGTTAGCTTAGCTTAGCACAAAGACTGGGAGTCTAGTTACACAACACTGCATAAGAATCACAAAGTGTTGATTTTTTTAATTGGTTATTTTTTACATTAAACAAATGTATTAGGTTTAAAGGTGCTCACAGATTACTTGTGGACAATCTTAGAAGCTATTTCCACTAGTTTACAATGTCAGGCTAAGCTAACAAGCTACTGGTTAATGCTTCTCTGTTAAAACAGATGAAAGTGGTGTCAATCTTTCTTTGTAACTCTCTGGAAAGTGAATAAGTCTCCAAAAAGTCAAATCGTTTCTTTCACGGTTTGATTTTTGACCATAAGAAGAAACGTCATAGTATCTGTCTTTCATTATGATGCCACCCAGAGGGCAGATACCCCACTTCCTGTTTGATGGCTGATCTGGTTTACTCGTCCACGCACACAGTCTAGTAAAAAGAAAACCGTAGTGCCGTTGTGAACCTGGAAGGACGCTCGCAGACTCACACTGGCCCACTGGCTGCCCTCAGACATCTGGCCAGATACCTGCTGGGCAACAGGGATAGGCCTCGATCCTTCTCCTGAACCCTCTAAATCACTTCGTCTGAGCAGAGTCACCTTGACCAAACTGCAGGAGTGAATGAGTTTGAGATCCAGAGCAACACTGACTGTACCGCTCTCTCTGAATACAAAATCTCGTCTCTGATCTGCGGATCCCTTTGCCAGCAGCTCCATTTGGGTCACTTGAGGACTGGTCTGGTGGAAGAACAATGGCTTGTTACGAACTGCTCCAGAGAGAAGGCCGGTGTTAGCCACAGAGGCAGAAAGAGATGAAGAAATGGCAGCGGGAACCCAAACCAAACTGAGAATACTGATACCCGTTTCGTCACCAAAGAAGCGAACGTTGCACTGCGCAGGAGAGAGAATCTCAAAACCCAGTGTGTCTCCCGGGACAACTTGAGCTGCTCCAGACAGTGCTATTGATGTGTCTCGGTAATGGACACCTGGTTTAAAGGCACGGAGCAGCTCCATGCCGGTTCCATTATGGTTGAGGTATGCCAAAATTTGGAAGCCCTCACTCACGCATGCCTGGCCCATCGAGTACAATGCCTGCTGGAATACAAAGCGCACAGTGCCACTCTCTGCAAACCGGATGCCGCGACCATCGTGAGTAAGTCCTACTACATAAGGGTCAGAGGTGGAGGTGGTACGGAAGACTGGGCGATAGTTTGTGTGGTAATGTGCAGAGACCATTGCCTGTGCTGTCATGGCAACCGCACCGGTGTCATGAGAGAGCCAGAGGAGGCTGAGTGGGGCAACGGAGGATTCGAACAGCTGCAGACCTTCAGCGCTTTGGTTACAGTGGTGGGTGGCACTCCGGAGGAAGAGGGATATGATGTGACCTGGGGCGACCTCTGCTACCCCACTGATGCTAACACCTTGGAGCGATCTACCCTCCTGCTGCTCCACACGAACCCCACTGAGGTCACGACCTTCAGAGCCGGCTGTGTTGTTCATGCGCAGACACACTTGGATGAAGCTGCGGCAACCATGGGTCACTGAGAGATTCTCATCCAGCCATATGAGACCATGCTGTCTCAGA